AGCAAAGGCTAGACGGCACGGAAACATACAAAGACCAAAAGCGCTTTCTCACGGCGCATTTGCTGCATTGGAAATAAAGTGAGTAGGCAGGCGAGCTGGTTGATGTTACACATTTTTGAAAAACCGGAGACGACAAACGGAAAAAGGGGAACACACAAGATGTCTCAAATCGTCTTGTGTGTTGCCCCCTTCGTTCGCCGTCTCCGGTTTTTCAAAAATGTGTAGCGTTTGATGCGTTAGATTCTATTAGCGGAACATTCAAATAAAGATAGCGAACGCCGTGGCGTAATGAGTTCTTTAGTTTTATTTGTTTATTCTCTTTAATTTCTTGTTTTACACGAAATATTGGCATCGTCGTTCGATGAAACGCTGTTTCATATAACGACGTTTCATAGAGTAGTGGACACTTCATCTAACGCCGTTGCCCATCTCATCGTATCGCTCGACGACGTTTCGTCGAATTTCGTTTCTGCTTTCAAATTACTGTAAATGTAATGACTAAACTCGTCTTTTTTTTTTTTTTTTTTTCCTGCACCTAGAATTGGCAGTAGGCTTTCGTGAAAATTGTGTCGTTTAGTTCCCGGCAACGTAGCCAAATAGTTAAAGGAATATATATATTATATATATATATATATATATATATATATATACGTGTGTGTGTGTGTGTGTGTGTATTGTGTTGAGAGACTTTAAAAGTTTAAATTTCGGTAACAGATCGTACCTTTTTTATTATTTGGTATACTCCGTGCGCATTTCTTTTTCCTTGCACTTTTGCATACTGTCTGGCATGCACATCTAATACATTTGGTTGGAATATTCCTTCAGTATGAATGGATTGTTGTCCATAGTACTGTGCACATGTCATACGCAAATTAACCTTCAGCATCTTCTCTGTCGAGCATATCTTGTTCCTTGATCAGAGAAAACCAACCTCTCACTGGTGCGATCCTTTAGTTTAACCGCATAGTCGCGGTTCGGGGGAGCTGAAGCAAGACGGAACGTGGTCCCACAAGCACGCTGGCGGGACAGTGGGACCACGGCCGGAAAAGCGGGACCTGTCCCGTCTAAACCGGGACGCATTCTTCACATAAAGGGGGAAATTGGTAATGTTCCGCGAGGACCCGGACTGCTTTTACTAAATAAGGGAAGAACATAGAAGACGAGGACGGACAAGACGTTTCCCAACTGGTAGCGAACGCCCGATCTTCATTTTGGGCCTGGAGATTACGCAAGTTGTCATGGCAGCCGTTTTAATCTTTTTTTTTTTTTTATTGATTTCAAATGAAAACCAAAACTTTTCTGACCCTGGACGAAAATAGAATAAATAAATAAACGGAAGGCGAAAAAACAAAAACAGGCCACAGCCTCCAGTCGTAATTTCGTAATTATCGTAGTGAGATAACTTAAGTGGAAAGTTTGCAACTTGATTTGACGATATTTTCCCTTCGTACGTGTGTAATTATTAAAAAAAAAAAAAAAAAGAATACATACCAGTTCGTCAGTGTACATGTCTCGAAAATAGCGCATTGTATGTTAATTTTTCCCTGTGCACTGAACAAAATGTGTTGCATACCTTTAGGACAGGGGTCTCAAACACGCGGCCCGCGACGTTATGGCAGGGGCCCGCAAGCATCCCGCCGCTGAATAATAGTTTTATATCGTCAATTTATTTCTGCTTAAGAAGAAACTCAGCTTCTTTAACGTGTTCACACATTTTGCACTATTCTGTTTATCGTTTTGACGGAGTATTTTTTCTTCTAAATATTGGCTCTTTATTCTTTTCTTGTCTAAATCAACCTGAATGTCAATACCACCAGTAGGCTGCAAGCGCGAGCTCCTTCCAAAGGAAGCACCCCGGCTGCATGAAGTCTTGATCAGAAGAAACTAACAAAAATAAAGCTATGAGCTTGGGCTTCTAGCTGCCATACAAAAGCGAAAAAAAAATCTTTATAATGCTGTTATAAAAATCACTAGGAGGGTATAAACGTTTAAACCTGTTGAACCTAGTGAATTGTTTGACGAGGGAACGACGGTGTGCTTGCTCTCGTTCTATTAAAACTGTCAGTGCTGTGGTGTTTTAAATTTTATTACATCATGGGGGGGCCCAAAGTAGTCGTACGTGCAAATGAAAGCTAAAGACGGCAAAACTGTGAGCTTACAAAAAGCAGACAGTACAAGGTTCAAGTAATATTTGAGGTGTCGCTGGTGTCGCTGGGACAGTCAGCTGCTTTGCAACTAAGCACACCACTGCTGCCCCCCCCCCCCCCCCCCCATCCTTGGCCCTCGTCCTTTCGGGAATGAAATATCTGCCTGCTCCCCCCCCCCCCCCCCCCCCCCCCCCCCCCCCAGTTGAATGAGTTTGAAACCACTCCTCGATCTAGAAAACTGGACACGCAGGTGAGGGGGGGGGGGGGGGGGGGGGGGGTGCATTTGAGCGTAGACACGCATATTATTCCGGAGTCGTACAAGTGACTTTAGTCACTGTTTCATTGTTACCAAATTTAGTAGTGCTACATGAAAAGTCTGGCCGTTCGACGTGAGCGTTGGCAGCGCTATGAAGCAGCCGCGCGCCTGATTGACAGGTCAAGATTAAAGTGGAAGAAGCTCCTCCCAACTCTTTCCTCTTTAGCAGAGCGAACGCTGGGGAGGAGGTCGCCTACTCTCTGCTAAAGTGAAAAGAGGCGGGAAAACCTAGGGAGCCTTCATGTGCGCTTGCGAAGCGCACATGCCCCCGTGTCGGTGCAGCGCGTACTGTACTGTAGTAGTCGACCTTCACCGTCGTTCCCCGGGGGGGCCTTCGGCCGACCTAAGACGATTATCTCGAACAGAGGAGAGACCGTCGAAAATAAGCAGATTTGAGCGTGACGGAAATACGACGGACAAGGCCTGATCCACACCTCTGCCCAACCGTCACCATTAGTGGATCTACGTAGCGCGGCCTACCTTGATGACGTCATGCTCCGGCCTTTTCTTCTAGTGGTATATTGGTCAGGGTGTCTACTTTGCTGTGAGCATTAGCGCTTGCAAGTGGGGGAAAGCGACAGATTACCTTTTGTTGCAGCTTTCCGGTTCGAGAGCACGAAACGCACGTGTTGCTTGACGCGTGGAAGAGGTGTGGGCGTGCCACGAGCGCGCTAGGACCCTAGATCCTGTTAGGCCCACTAATTCGCGACGGCGACCTGGATTCAGCTCCGGAAACATCGCCTTTGTGTCCAGGGGTGGCCCTTCTTCACCTCAAAATTAGCAAAAAAAAAAAAAAAAAACTTTTTTTTTTTTTACTGACGTTTTTTTTTTTTTTTTTATTCCACCCAAGATAATCCCTCCGACACGGGGCGCCACTTCTGCGGGCAAAATGTGGATTCGGTGAAAGAGCCTCGGCAAAAATAAAGACGGTGGGGCAGAAAAAAAGAAAAAAAAAATTCCGTTTCGCTTAGAAGGTGGTCAAGCCTGCACCTGTGTGGCTACGACTGAATGGGAACAGTCGATCGGATTTGATTCCCGCGTTTTGTGCGAGTTGTGTTCGCTTCTGCGCGTTGCCAGAGCCGACCATCGAATACATCACTCCCTATGGAGCGCAGCGAAAATGGT